AGGAACCTTGGGTGACTGTCCAGGCAGTCAGATGTCTCTGTCATTTGTAGAGATTTGGAAGTTGTTTGCTCTGCACTTCCTGTTTACTCAGGTAATGTTATTTCCTTCTTGGGTCTCTGATGGGGTTGATAACCTGATAGTTATACCATTTTCTATGTTACCATTTTCAGAAAAGAAACTTACAAAGAGATGTAAAATCTGTAAGGTTGAGAGACATAAAAGCTTAAGGTGTTTATCTAAGAAAATGTTTTAAGGTCTAAAAAGGTATTTTTAGAATAGTTATACAAGTTTTGACAGAAAGTGGTTTGCTATAAAACTTTGGATTCATCAAGACAGGATAGATAATACAGTCAATTCTCCAAATTTAACAAATACAAATGGACTGGACATTGTGAATATAATTCTTACCTGATAATTGATTGTTTTATTAAAATTTATTTATTTATTTACTTATTGTGTATACAACATTCTGCTTCCATGTATATCTGCACAGCAGAAGAGGGCACTAGATCTCATAATGGATGGTTGTGAGCCGCCATGTGGTTGCTGGGAATTGAAATCAGGATCTCTGAAAGAGCAGTCAGTGCTCTTAACCTCTGAGCCATCTTTCCAGGCCCTGATAATTGATTTTATTGTATATGCTTTTACTGTGTTAGAGTTAAAACCTTTCCTTTTATTTAGACAATACCTGTAATTTTTTTTTGAGACAGGGTTTCTTTGTGTATCTCTGCTTGTCCTGGAACTCACTCTGCCTCTGTCTCCCTGAGTGATGGGATTGAAGGCGTGCACCACCACCTGGTAATTGGTCTCATTATATAGTTTTACTGTGTCAGAGTTAAAAACTTTCCTTCTTATTTAGACAAAAGGGGAAATGTTCCAGGATTTGAACACAGATTCTGGGGAGTTCTCCATATTGTCATTTATTTCCTCCACACACTCTGAGTATCTCAAACTCTAAGTATCTCTGTGACACCCCGAGACTGTTAATAATGTTGTCCTCGAATTAGGGGGCAGAGGCAACAACTAGGTGACTGGAATTAGCCATAGAGGTTTTGGAGGACCCAGGATACTTTGTGATAGAGAAGCACAGAAAAGAGTAGGGAGCGGTTTAGAAAGATCCATGGTCCTTTGTGATCTGGGAGGCATGGAGAGAGAGGGTCAGCTCTTTGTTACTCCTTTATTTATTTATTTTTTTAAACTATCAGGTTTTTACCCCAATATCTGACTCCCATGTTCTTATTAATAATAGAACAATTTAGATAACACTTCACATAGCTATGTCACCTGCTTGAGGAGTGGATTTCCTCCACTGCTGATGGAGACAGTGACAGCAGACCAAGGAAAACATCTATTCATGGCCAGCTTGGTGAGCCCTGAGCTCACTGGTCACTCACAGGATCCCGGGTGAGTCCGGGGATAACCACTGACACCCCACCCCAGTGAGCATGTCACTCACACAGCTGCATCACTGCAGTCCCCAGCACAGCTCCCAGCAGCTCCACTCAACAGTCTCCTCTCCCTCAGGAACCACAGCTGGTTTAGCCCTGAGAGGGAAGTGCTACATTGTGTCAGCTCTGTGAACCTGGAGCTTCCTGTGTTTCATGAGCCTCCTCAGCCTCCTCCTGGCTCCAGCAGGGATGCTCCTTCAGTCTAGAGGGAAATTCACACCATCACCTTCCTCATCTACAGCAGCTCCCTTTGTTAAAACAACCTCAGGCCAAGTGCTGGTGTGTCAAGTGCAGCCCCAGGTCCCCTCACACTGAGCTCAGGGTCACCTGAGCTTTCCCCTCAGCAAAGCCCTCCCTCCCTCTCCCCACCTGCCTTTCTGTCTGTGGTCCATGATCTTATTTTTTAACTCTTTCATCAATGAATGTTTTCAGAGTTCCTGGCACTGGAAGTCATCATCCCTCACAAGACAAAGTTGGTTGCATCATGACAGAGATGATCACCTCCTTGGTCAGCAGACATCTCTGCTAAGGCTCCTGGAGCTCCTGAGAGAAAACACTAGGCTAGAAGAGAAAACACAGGGGCCAGAACCTGGAGCAGGGCATGAAGTAATTTCCATCTCAGGTGTTCAAAAAACCAATTTTTAAGAGAATTAACTTTATATCTGTGTGTTTTCTTCCCTGTATGTATTTGCACCAGGTATCTCTCCGGTGTTGGGGGGTTATTGGAAGCCATGGAAAAGGAATTAGGGATGTCTGTGAGCCACCATGTGGGTGGTGATATCTGAGCCCGGTGCCTCTGCAAGAGCAGCAAGTGCTCCCAACCCCTGAGCCATCTCCAGTCCCTGGATCATGTCTTTTAAATAAACACAAATCCGAAGTAGACTCAGCCTTTAAATCCTGGAGTCACTACTGGAGGCAGCACCAGGATTACCAGAGCCAGGGAGGAAGAGGGAACCTTGGGCAAAATACAGATCCAACAGGACAGATCTGAGATGAGACTCTGTGGATCCCTCCTCTCTGCCATCCTACAACCCGGATCTGATTCAAAAGAGGGGAAAGGAGAGAACCTCCAGGGAGGGGCCTGAAAGGAGGCAGGAGCTCAGGAGACTGAATTTCATTTTCTCTTCCTACAGTCTCCTGTGTGCAGGGGCCTTGAGGGGACAAGGATGAAAAAACAGATTTTAATGCTGTCACTCAGGGAGCCCAAGGGATAAGGCTCCACTCTCAGGAACAAAAAAAGGCCTAGTCCTCCATACAAACTGAAAAGTCAACAATAAACAGGGAATATGGCGTAAAGACCTACAGCCAGGTCAGAGCCCAGGCTGACCTGTCACAGCAGCCTTGGCTGCTCACAATTCTGGGGACAGGACATTCATTGTACTGGCCATCCCTGTGTATCTGTGACCACGGATCTCAGCATGTGGTTCGAAGTGATGAAGAGAACAGAGCCTGGAGGTGACAGAGCTGAGGAGTGACCATGTCACAGCCAACAATGGACTGAGCTCCACCTGGACACAGCCCTGTCTCACTTAGCTCCTACAATCCCATCCTATCCCAAGATGGACACAGAACAATGAACACAGATTCTGGAAAGTTCTACATGCTATCACTTATTTCCTCCACAAACTCATAAGTATCTCAATAATTTATTTAACAGATAATCAACCTGTCAGATCAAGGGTGAGAACAATCAAGTTCAAATTGCGATCCTTATTTTCAGTGGGGAAGTCAGGGGTGCAGCTCAAGGTAGCACGGAGGTGACAGGATGAAGATGTCCCCTCCTGTCTACTGGAACAGGAAGGGTTGGCCATGGAAGGGAACACAGGCAGTGCAGGGACAGGGTCCTGGTGTGCAGGGCTGGGCTGTGCTGGGCTCCCAATTCTTCACATTGAGCCCATAGAATCATAGGGAACATCAGACACAGCTGCAGAGAGTCAACCGTGGATGTCACAGGAGAGGGCTGAACACATTGTCTGCCACTCCGTCCATGCAAGGCAGCTATCTTCAAGCTACAGAACAAGAGTCATGAGCAATCTTGTGAAGACAACATCCCAACAACCCACCACTCACTCACAGGTGATTCTGGGTGTCCCTGAAACCAAATCAATTCCACTTTGCCCCCCCACCCCAAATCAGGTCCCAGAGTGTCACCTTTACAATCTGAGAGAGACACATCTGAGCTCTGGGAACTGTCCCTGCCTGGGGATAAAATATATACTTTCATAGGAAGATAAAAACATGGCCCCTAGAAGATTTTGCTGCAGGTGATATTATGGATTTCCAGATCCCAAATTACTCTAGCTTCACCCCACAGGCCTCAGGGACAATCCTGCTCCCCACACTTACCTGGAGCTGGAGCATAGTTCCCTCCTTTTCCACCTGTGAGAAGAAAAGCTGTGAGAGACCAGGGAGGAGCCAACCCTAGGAATTTCCCAGAACCAACAGCAGACCCAGGTTAGAGACAGGAGCAATGGGGTGTATGTGTGTTTCCATGAGGCAGAGAACACTTCTAAAATGGCTGAGAGAGAACTCAGACCCTGCCCTTTCCTACCTGAGTTTCTCCTCTTCCTCACAAAAAACACCACAGCTCCAATGATCACAGCTCCAATGAGAACCAGAGCAGCAATGACTGCCATGATGAAGACAGTGGACTGAGGAGGAGGCTCTGGGAAGGGAAGGACAGGAAGGGAAGGTGAGGGTCATGACCCCATCTCTCAGCCCTGACCCTGCTCAGGCTCTGCAGAAGGCTCCAGCTTTCCCTGACCCCAGCTCTGACCCCTCCCTCCTTACCCCA